AAAATCTAGAGGATTTGAGACAGTATCGTGCGAGTTGTTACTCCTGGTTAAGATGCCATCGGAACCAGTAATGGGTGGCGTTCACTGCTATAATCCAGCTGCCCGAGGGCTGAGTGATCGAAACCTGGGAACCTGGGTCGAAGCCTGCTTTGCATTGCTGGCTTGGCACAAAACAGTCAGAGCATATTGGTTTACCAAGGTGACAAGTTACATCAGCTCTAAGTGGAGAGAGGCATCAGTGATGTCAGCCTACAGAGTTTATTATTGCAAAGACAGACAGCTGCGGCCAGGTTTCCACAAGAGCGCAGCCTGCTGAGTTGATCTGATCCAAAGATGCCAGTCATTTTGTGGGGGGGGACAGTTATTTTCTTCAATATCCCTAATCCCTTCTAAATCAGCTTAGAACCAATTCCCCATGTTGATTTGTTTTTTGAAAAGCATGTTTAGTTTTTTAAAAAACACACTTTTTTGGTAAATCGCAAATCTGGAAAATTTACTGGAAACCAAAATATTTTTCATTGAAAATATGGACAATTTTGATTAAATGTAATATGTTCTGAAAAAAAAACAACAACCCACCAAAACAAAGCAACATTGGTTTGTTTTTTGAAAAGCATGTTTAGTTTTTTTACAAATACTCAGTTTTTGGTAAATCCCAAATCTGGAAAATTTACTGGAAACCAAAATATTTTTCATTGAAAATATGGAAGATTTTGATTAAATGTAATATGTTCTGAAAAAAACCCAACCCACCAAAACAAAGCAACATTCGTTTCTCTTTTGAAAAGCATGTTTAGTTTTTTTACAAATACTCAGTTTTTGGTAAATCCCAAATCTGGAAAATTTACTGGAAACCAAAATATTTTTCATTGAAAATATGGAACATTTTGATTACATGTAATATTTTCCAGAAAAAACCTCCACAAGAAAACAAAGCAACATGTCTCCCCTCCCCCAGGAAAAAACAACATTTGTTGCAGTTGAAAAATAGTTTCAAGGCTAAAATTTCAACCACCGCTACCACCAGGTGCATGGTCAGGAGAAGAGGGGTCTACAGATGCAGGTCTACACGCCAGCATGTCTGCTTCTGAGTGGCAGTTCTAACATGACATTTTAAGTTGTTATAAAGGCAGAGCAATGAGTGTGCGCCAATGGCTCCGTTAGAGATGGGTAAATGATCGGAAAGGGATCTAGGGGTCATAGTGGACCACAAGTTGAATATGAGTCAACAGTGTGATGCTGTTGCAAAAAAAGCAAATATGATTTTAGGTTGTATCAACAGGTGTGTTGTAAGCAAAACTCGTGAAGTCATTCTGCCGCTCTATTCTGCACTAGTTAGGCCTCAGCTGGAGTACTGTGTCCAGTTCTGGGCGCCACATTTCAAGAAAGATGTGGAGAAATTGGAAAGGGTACAGAGAAGAGTGACAAGAATGATTAAAGGTCTAGAGAAGCCTATGAAGCCAGGCTTCATGAACTGGGCTTGTTTAGTTTGGAAAAAAGAAGATTAAGGGGGGACATGATAGTGGTTTTCAAATATCTAAAAGGGTGTCACAAGGAGGAAGGTGAAAATTTGTTCCTCTTGGTTTCTGAGGACAGGACATGGAGTAATGGGCTTAAAGTGCAGCAGGGGAGGTTTAGATTGGACATTAGGAAAAAATTCCTAACTGTCAGGGTGGTCAAATATTGGAATAAATTGCCAAGGGAGGTGGTGGAATCTCCCTCTCTGGAGATATTTAAGAACAGGTTAGATAGACATCTGTCAGGGATGGTGTAGATGGAGCTTGGTCCTGCCTTGAGGGCGGGGGGCTGGACTCGATGACCTCTCGAGGTCCCTTCCAGTCCTATTATTCTATGATTCTATGAAATGAAGGCGATGTAGCCTGTTATGTGCTTCTTTTCTGAGGAAAATGTGATCTGTAGGGCTCTGTATGATCCCTGAGGTCCATTTGCCCTAGTACCTCCTCTCAGGCAGGCTCCAGAGGAAGGAATACCGTGCCATCGGGGCTGCTGACGGGATGAGGGAGGAAGTAAAGGGTGCACCTGCCCCAGGGCCTGTTGATTTAAAATGGCGTAGAGCTCCGGGCAACAGCTGCTGTTACCCTGGGCTCGTTAAATCACCGCCGGAGCATTCAGGTAGCTTTGAAGGGCTGGCTGAGGGAAGCTAACTCTAACCCCGCCCCCTTCTGCCAGAGGCCCCGCCTCTTCCTGAGGACATGGAGCCAGCTGCTCCCAGCGCCCGGCAAAGTCTCCCACCAGCCCTGCGCACACTAGGCCGTGATGGGCCAAACTGTCCCCCCACATTACGTCTCATCTCGGTCTCGAATAGTCAGAGATTGGCTTCGACCTTGAAGCCGGAGCTTTAATATCCCTTCCAAATTTATTTTAAAGTATTAGCTATTATAACTCTGTAGATTCTGATTAAATGCCCAACGCCTTTGTGAGTCTCACTTTGTTCTTTGCCTGAATTACTTCCCATGGCAATGAGTTACGCAGGCTAATTGCACATTGCATGAAAAATGTATTTCCTTGTATTGGTTCTGAATGTTTCAGGTGTATAGAAAGCCTAGAGGGGTGGGGTGGGGGGGTGAGGGGAAACCCTGTAGCTCTGAGGTCTTCTCCATCTATCATGTTTTATTACTAGAGGAATCAACAATTAAAGTCAGTATTGAGTTACATCAGTACTTAGCATATCTATCATGACTATTTCATAGTTTTCATTATAGAAGATGCCCCTCAGCATATGAATGGACTATGTAATATAAAGGAACACTGATGAAAGCGTGCTATTAGCTTCATTAGCGTTGAGCACAGGGAACGTACATAAGGTTACCGCTTGAAAATATTCAGTATAAAATCTGTTTCATTAGCTGGATGGCTTGCAGTGAACGAGGCAAGGGCTTGCTGAACAGGGAGGTACAAATATATATTGAACAGCTACCTCATTCATTGTTCCCTGCGAAAAAGATCAAGTGAACAAAGGAAAATCTCATGCTGCCGTAGAATTATAGACCTTGTTATGTGTTACCGTAGTACCTAGCAGAGAACAAGGCCCTATTGTAATAGACGTGATATAACACGGAGATTCCTTGCCCCAAAGAGCTCCCAATCTAGTTGTGATACATGCATGCAAAGGGGCAAAGTTAAGGTTGCAAGGGCATTTCCTGTCTTTGGAATGCCTCGCTTTTCGTGTTGATGGAATGATTTTTTTAAATGGCATTTTATATAAAGGAAGGGCTATTCCCAGCGGTGTGAGTTGAACAGGACTGTTGATAATAAAAAAGGGGTTTTCAGAGGCAGCTCTCTGTATAATCCACTCTTCTTGCGGGAGAGACAGGAATGAAAATGGGATACTGGACATCTCTTTGTGCATTCAGGTGAATTTCCCCATTCGTGCAGGGTTTTTTTTTACCAATGTCAGTTGCCACAACATTCCTATGAGTTATGACTGTCCCCATTTTAGAGATTGGGAAATTGAGGCAAGAAGGCTAAGTCTAAAATGCATCTGCAGTGAGACTCAGTCTCCGATCCAGCACCAGAATACAGGTGTCACTAGCTCTCAGTCACACACTTAGCCCACCCCAGACTTCCTGTCTCAGAGAAGCAGTCCAGCCTCCCAATTGTTTGCAGTGTTGCTGTAATTGTTCTGGTCCCAGGATATTAGAAACTCTGGGTGTGTAAGTGAGTGAGGTAATAGCTTTTACCAGACCAGTGTTTGGTGGTGCAAAAGATACACTTTCATGCTCAGACATATTTCTTCTTCCAGTCTTGCAGCTTGAAAGCATGTCTCTTTCACCTGCAGAAGTTGGTCCTATAAAAGAACTTCAAACCCCAATTCCAAATTCAACATGATCAGTTTAGGATCGAAAGAGGATCTCAACTGGTTAACGCACTACAAAGGCAATTTCCCCCTCTCTTGATATTCACATCTCCACACCGAACACTGCGGATAACCCACTTGATTAGCTTCATTAACACAAGTAACTTCCTTCCTTGTATATACCCCTGCTTCTGTCACTTCCACTCCAATACTTCTGATAAAGTGGGTTTTCCCCACGAACACTTAGACCTGATAAATCTGTGAGTCCCTAACGTGCCACAGGACTCCTCAATATTTTTGCAGATACAGACTCACTTGGTGACCCCTCTGAGATTTCTCAGCCACCTTGTCTTTCCAGTACCCTGAGTATTGTCCACAGCCTACGTACACTCCTTCAGAGGGTCCAGCATACGAGCAGGTTACCAGCTGAGAGGTAGCCCAGTAGTAGAATTTGTAAAAGACCTTCATCTCCCAGTAGCAGAGTGATCTAGGAACCTCTCTGCTGACCGAGGGAATTGCGGGCATTGGTTTTGTGGAAATTTGGGCATCTCTGTAGCTAGTTCCATGAAGCCCTCTGCTCGGCGTGCAGATGGAGTCAAAAAGCCAGAACAATGTTAGGATGCGTAAGGAACAGCACGGAGAGTAATATGGAAGCTACATTTGGTGGGCTTTGCTCAGTTCCATTCATCTCATTTTTAAATTCTATTGCAAAATTGGAAGGACCTAGAGAAGGATGGGGAAAGGGATTCCGGAGCCTGGAAAATCTCTCCCATGGAAACGTGTCGTTAGGAGACAAATAAGAGAGGCCAGGACGAATTCTATAGAGTTAGCAATTAAAAAAAAAGTGTGAAAAGAACATGATTAAGGTTGCATAGTCCAGTACTCAAAACTAGACAAAGCCAGAATTAAGGTTGTCTATGCAAAAAATTGCATGTGACCATGTAATTAAGGCTGTCTCATCATTAGCGCTGTGCAAATAACTGATTTTTGTTTTTAGTTTGCTGTCTGAATTGAAAAACAAATTGTTTTCAATTGACCTCGAATGTTTCTTTTTTCTATTTTTTTTCTGGCATAACAAAAAAGAAATCCTGATTCTCCAAGAAAAAAAAAACCCAAGCCCAAAAAGCAAAGTAAAACAAAAGTCATTTTGGGTAGAATTTGTAGCAGTTTGAAGGGGGTTTACCTTTTCAAAAATACTGGTTGAACCTCTCTAGTCTGGTGCCCTTGGGCCACACTCCTGCTAGACTGGTGCCGGGCTAGGGAGTTTCAACCTGTAGAAGTAAAATTTGAAATGAGAAATCATTTTGGAAAAAAATATCCAACCTTTTAATGTCAAAACGTTAGCCTGGAACTTTTTTTGTCTAAAAGAAAATTGATGATTCCCACATGAATTTATGCACTGTGTTGTTGAACCCAAATTTTTCAGCAAAGAAAAAAAAGTTTGGTCAAAAAGTTTACTCTGTTCTAAAGCATAAAACATACATGAAAGGGATGAATTAAGGTTGTTCAGGCATCCTTTAATCTGCCAATTCCAAACTTCTGAGTGGTTGAAATGTTCTTTTAAGATATTCCCATGATGATTAATCTGGCGGCATTAATTTTGTTTGTGAATTTCCCTTTGTTTCCTACCCTGGCCAAACACACTTTGCTCTTATGTGTGAATGGGGAAGTTGGCGACAAAGGATGATGTGGCAGGACACGCGTATTTAAGGATTGTAGAGTGAACAAAAGTGAGCGTGGCCTTCAAGGGAGGGGGAAAGAGCAGTGACGAGGCCCGGCAACTATCTGGCGGCATTAATTTTGTTTGTGAATTTCCCTTTGTTTCCTACCCTGGCCAAACACACTTTGCTCTTATGTGTGAATGGGGAAGTTGGCGACAAAGGATGATGTGGCAGGACACGCGTATTTAAGGATTGTAGAGTGAACAAAAGTGAGCGTGGCCTTCAAGGGAGGGGGAAAGAGCAGTGACGAGGCCCGGCAACTTGATCAGGACAGGGGAGTTGAGATGTCAGGCCGGGCCGACAGTCGGGTGACAACATTGCTAGGCTTAGCCAAGCCCCACACATCAGTCCCACCAGCCAGCGGGGAATTCTCTTGCATTGCAGAAACCAAACAACGAGCTGTGGTGTTTCCACTCCCTGGGAATGCCAGCCACTGGCCTTCTCTCCTGTCCAATGGCAGCATTTTGCTAACTACCCATCGTGTCTCACATGAAAACAGGGGTCCGGCAGCCAATTCTTTCTCCTGTTGAGTTGGTGCTCAAGGTCTCCACCCAGCGATTGCTGTGTTCCCAGTCAGGACTGAATAACACGCTCTACCGCAGGATGGCTGATGTGTGTGTCTTTCAGGGCACCTCTCATGAGATTTACATGGGTCTGGGAGCAGAAGGGTTTACAGGAGGGCCAATCAGTGCCACTTGTGTACTCTATGGCTATGTCCAGACTACATGCCTTTTTCGAAAGAGGCTTTTTCGAAAGATATTTTCGAAAAAGCCTCTTTCGAAAAAGAGCGTCTAGACTACAATCAGTACTTTTGAAAAAGCAAGCCGCTGTTTTGAAAGAGAGCACCCAGGCAGTCTGGATGCTCTCTTTCGAAAAAGCACAGTTTGCATTCCATAGCGCCATTTTTCGAAAGAGCTCTTTCGAAAAAAGGCATTCTTCCTTGTAAAATGAGGTTTTCCGTGGTGAAAAAACGGCCACGTTCTTTCGATTTACTTTCAAAAGAATGCGGCAGCAGTCTAGATTCAGGTAAAGATTTTTCAAAAAAAGGCCACTTTTTTTGAAAAATCCCTGTAGTCTTGACACACCCTATGAGACAGAAGGCAATCGGTGGTGATAGCTACTGATGTGTGTCTTGCAGTGCTGAGTGGCTGTCCTTAAGGGGCTGGGCCACTAGCCTGCAAATCAGCATTCGATCTTACCTGGCATCACCAGGTCCTGCGTGGACTTGGTAAATTACTTCATTTCTCAGGCCAGGTCTACACGCTAGGCCTAAGATACACAGCTCCTCACTGCGGGAGGTCGACGGGAGAAATTCTCCTGTCAATTTCCCTTACTCCTTACGACCGTGTGCAGTAGTGGGGTCGATGGGGGGTTCCATCAGTGGTTGATTTAGTGGGTCCTTACTAGACCCACTAAATCAAACCCTGGGAGATTGATCATCTCAGCGCTGATCTCCCAGTAAGAGAAGACAAGCCCTCAGTGAAACAGGTATACAAGCACTTTTGCCTTCTCTGCTTTGGCTGTGTGTCTTACTGTGTGTCTATAACACTTAGTACCTTGGCAGAGGCCACTGGGTCTGTGCCTAATATTAATAATAAGAGGGGCAGATGTTGGCACAGACGAGGCTGTAGAATTCAACCAGACTGCGGCATGGGTGATGATCCATGGACAACTACCCGCTGGGGATGGGATCAGACCATCAAGCTCAAGCCACATGTGCCCTAACATTGAATGCCGGGGTGACCCATTAGGACCCCCAGCCGCTGTGCTAATGACTGCAGTGGTCCCTCTGTTACCGGTTTTCGAAAAGTCATTGGGGAGAAAAAACAGTCCCCTTCTTGCATGCGACACCTTCCTGACGACGTAATTCCCCTCTGTCCAGCCGCCAGCCCCCTCGGTGGTTTTCAAGACCCATTTTGATTGTTTTGTTTATTGCTCATTGTGTGTGTTATCACATTAATAGAAGCTTTCTTTGATCCATTTTGTATGAAGGTCACTGCTCACATACTCTCAATGGAGGCTTTATTTTGGCTGCGTCGGTTCCTAATGAACTCATGCCAGCCGCTTGCAGAGGGCCCCCTCTGTTTCCAGATAGGGGTCCCCTTGTCATCTGACATTAGCAATGTGCTGAATAAATCACATTGCCCGCTGGAGTAGTTAGCAGTTGCTGTCGACAGAATAGAGGCCACTGGGAGAGTGCTGGGGGCCTGTCATTTCACCCGGAGGTTAATATACTGTCAACAGACAGGGACACAAATGAAGCCAGAGCGTTTTAGCCTGAAGAAAAGGGGACCTGTGATAAGCGGCAGACTTTGCCTTTTCCCCAGAGGTGTCAAGGTTCCTGCACACCTTAGGACAAGCGTCCGGGGACCTTTTGGGGTTGCGGGCCGCTGACCCACAGATGTTTTAACAAAAAATACCGAATACCCCCCCCCCAAAAAAAAACACAAGGAAAAAATTCTGTTGAGGATAAAAAGAGGGGAGACCAAAGTTGTTAAGCAAAAAAAAAAAAAAAAAAAGGGCACTGTGCCTTTAAATGGCGCTGTGCTCCTCGCTCCCCCACCCCTGCTAGGAAAATTGTCCCCGCCGGGTTTCCGTCCGAGGGAAACAGGAAATACTGGACATTTCACATGTCTGGTATTTTCTGTTATATTTACCGGACGGGGGACCCAAATAACAGACAGTCCGGGTGAAAGTCAGACACCAGGCATGCCTACCCACAGAAATATCAGTTGGAGGCTGCACACAAGTGAAAGCAAAATAATAAAAATAAAATAAAACACCCCCCCACCGACCCCAGACCCCTTACCGCCGTGGCCCCTGACTGAGGAGGAGAAAGACACGCTTCACATTCTCCTCACACACCATAGAATCATAGAATCATAGCAGTTGGAGGCTGCACACAAGTGAAAGCAAAATAATAACAATAAAAAAAAACCCCGCCCCCCCGACCCCAGACCCCTTACCGCCGTGGCCCCTGACTGAGGAGGAGAAAGACACGCTTCACATTCTCCTCACACACCATAGAATCATAGAATCATAGGACTGGAAGGGACCTCGAGAGGTCATCGAGTCCAGCCCCCCGCCCTCAAGGCAGGACCAAGCTCCATCTACACCATCCCTGACAGATGTCTATCTAACCTGTTCTTAAATATCTCCAGAGAGAGAGATTCCACCACCTCCCTTGGCAATTTATTCCAATATTTGACCACCCTGACAGTTAGGAATTTTTTCCTAATGTCCAATCTAAACCTCCCCTGCTGCACTTTAAGCCCATTACTCCTTGTCCTGTCCTCAGAAACCAAGAGGAACAAATTTTCGCCTTCCTCCTTGTGACACCCTTTTAGATATTTGAAAACCGCTATCATGTCCCCCCTTAATCTTCTTTTTTCCAAACTAAACAAGCCCAGTTCATGAAGCCTGGCTTCATAGGTCATGTTCTCTAGACCTTTAATCATTCTTGTCGCTCTTCTCTGTACCCTTTCCAATTTCTCCACATCTTTCTTGAAATGTGGCGCCCAGAACTGGACACAGTACTCCAGCTGAGGCCTAACTAGTGCAGAGTAGAGCGGCAGAATGACTTCACGAGTTTTGCTTACAACACACCTGTTGATACCAGAGCCTAGGGAAGCCCAGGCTGGTAGATTTTGTGTGACCCAGCCTCATGGTGAGGCAGAAGGGGGCTGGAGCACCAGCGTGGACTCCTCAATGTTAGCAGGGGGAGCCTTGAGAGTTGGGGGCCAGATCCAGGCTAGCCAGGGGCCACATCCGGCCCCCGGGCCTGACGTTCCCCACCCTGCCTTGGGAGGTCCTCTCCTATCCGCACTGAGTTCCAAACAGGCTCTAAGACTGGCCTCTCGCAGGTAGCTGACATTCTCAAGGGCTTATTTCTCTTGCCGCCCTCATGTTCCGCCTCGTGAGACTGAGAACAGGGCTGGGGAACCATCCTGAAAAGCTCTCACCCATCTTGCCAGGCCAGCTGGCACGGTGGCTGGAGGCGCGAAGCCAGCAGCAAACTTCTGGGGATGGGGCGGGGAAGGAGGGTGGAAAGATGGCTTTGTATCACTCAGAGTTGCTCCTCACGGTTTGCCCAAGCTCCTGATGGTTTAGCACCACCGTCGCCTAATCAGGCCAGATTTATTCGAATTCCCTGGGCCGTGGCATTGGAACGACCTCAGTCGTGTTACACGTGGTGCAGGCGAGACCCTCCCCTGTGGCAGCTGGCAAAGGCGCCAATGTTCTGTGTGCAAACGAGCTGTAAGAAAGATGACTCCATGCACCAAAAAAAAAAAAAAAAAGAAAAGGGACATCCCCTTGCTTTCTCCTGGGGAAGAAGGATGTTGTCCAAGGGGCATGGTTGGCCAGCAAAGATCCGTCCTTCCTTTTTAGAAGTTGTACCCTATTATGTAAAGGCCAGACCCAAGGGGCTGTGTCTAGACTGGCAAGTTTTTCTGCTTTTGCGGAAAAACTTACCAGCTGTCTACACTGGCCGCTTGAATTTCCACAAGAACACTGACGATCTCATGTAAGATTGTCAGTGTTCTTGCGAA